TGTTTTTTTTTTATATATGTATTTTTGAGCATTTTCTTCTTGAGTTTTATAAAAAGTAGCTAAGACTAGCCATATATTTTTGAACCTGTTCTTTCCCCTTGCACATTTTATGATGCTATATGACACAAAAGTGATAACAGGAGTGAAGAATATGACAAAGTATGGAAGACCAATGCCTGCTCCCTTCTCTGAACAGCAATCTGTCAGGTACACTGCCAAAAGGAAGACATTTGTAGTGTTTAATAGAATGTTCACAATTTCATGGGACCTATGCCTTTAGGCAAGAAAGTGATCTAAAGGTATTTACTGCAGTAGAAGGTGACCATAAAACTACTTGCTTTCTGAACTAAGAAAAGCAATAAATTTTGTCTTGGCTTTTGCAGTAATTTCTTGATATCCTTACTCATTGTGGCACAGAAATACTGAACTCAATCTCCCCACACATGCATTTATCAGAAATTTTTGTACCAAATGAGAGAACACAAGTGCAGAAAGGAGGAATAATGTGGTTTGTTCTGTTTTTAAATATTACAGAGGTTGTCAGATAGTGACATAAACTGCATGAGTTTTTGCCCGTCTGTTGTGGTTTAAACCCAGTCAGGCAATTTGTTCACTCACTTCCCCCCACTTCTTGCCCTCCCCCTGCTCCCAGAGGGACGGAAAGGAGAGTCAAAAAGAATGCAACTCCCATGGGTTGAGATAAGAGCAGTTTAGTAACTAAGGTATAACACAAATCACTACTGCTACCACCAATAATAATAATGATAAAGGAAATAACAAGGGAAGAGAATACAACACCTCACCACCAGCCAACCGATAACTCCCCCCCCAAGCCCGACCAAGCACCGACCGATACCTCCTCCAACCCTGCAGTCTCCCAGCCCTTCCAGCTCACTCCCAGTTACATCCTGGGCATGACGTGCTGTGGTATGGAATACCTCTTTGGTCAGTTTGGGTCAGGTGTCCTGTCTGTGCTTCCTCCCGGCTTCCCCTCCTCCCTGGCAGAGCATGAGGCTCACAAAGTCCTTGGCCAAACCAAAACATCATTATCAGCTCTGTTCCTGAGCCGAAAGTCAAAACACTGCACCAGCTACCAAGAAGGAGAAAAATGACGGCTACTGCTGAACCCAGGACACCGTCCCTTTTATGTTTGGTATAATGACCCTGTAAAGGCCTTTTACTATAAAGTTAAAATTCTGGTATTGTCTCAAATAGCATAATAGAAGACAAGTATAGAGAGAAATGTTAATGTCAAGCTTAAGTGACAACTGCTTGTATGACTGACTGCGGTAAAATTAGAAGGTTAGCCTTAAATTGGCTGCCTCCAGGGTCTCTCTGCCTGTTTGGAGATTAACCTTGGAACATAAATGACTTGGATTAAATGATCCAGCACATTTTCCTCCTTAGGCTATCATACATTGGGTGAAAGACTAAATAAAAGAATAGGTGTACTTACATGCCTGTTGACATGCAAGGCTGAAGAGTGAAAAGTGACAAAACTCTTCTCCCCCTTACATATTTTTCAGCAAATCTATTGCTGAAAGAAGTTGGATAACCCAACTTGTGCTGATGGGTTATATTTCTTTAAAACTTCATATGTATATGCCTTGCCATAAAAAAAGTTGTGTTTGCATTACAAGAAGTATGTTAAGTCTCTGGGAAACGTGGTAGATGTATCAAAAATACTTGTGGATTTTTCCTGTAAAACCAGGCCACATAAATCTTTATTTGCAACTGGAAACTTAATTGAGTTCAGGACTTTCTTAGAAGCCTTTGAACATGCAGAATGTTTATTACTATGATTTAAATAAATAAAAAAGTGGAAAAGCAGCCCATGTTATTTCAGAACTGTCAGGCGCTCGGCATAAGGAGTTTTTCAGATTCCAGTCTCTCCCTGTATTTCTGAATTCCCATCACAGCACTGATGTCTCGGGCCTGCAGATGAAGACTGTTGTGTTGCTATTACAGAACTGCACATTTTGTGGGATGATCACCCTTGCAAACAGAAAGGGTATCATTTTATGTCAGTTAGTTTTACTGTACTGCTAGTTTCAACACATTTGTTAAAAATGACCTTTTTTTATTCTTTAATCTCAAAGATTTCTTCTGAGCAAATACCTGCCATAGTGTTCAGGGATTTTCTTTTCCCTATAATTTTAACAAACTCTCTGTTCTGTTTGCATTCAATATTAAAATTTGCTATTTCTTTAATTGCAGCTTATTCAAGCAGGGAGTTCAGTGAATAGTTTTGGAGAAGACAATGTTTTTCTGTTGTTATAGTATTTTCAAATTAATATAAATAATAAAAATAGTATTTTCAAATTCTATAATGTCCCCCATTCAACAACACCAAAACACATTGTAAATATAATTAATAGGGGAATTTTCTTAAAGCAGTTTCCAGCCTGATAAACAAAAGTATAGAGAAGTAATTTTCCTAACACTACAGAAAAAATATTTTGGGATTGTAGCACAAGAATCTTGAATTTCCTCCCTTTTTTCCTCCTTCCCTTCTGAGTTTTGGGCAATATCCCATATATCTTTGAGTATGGAATAAGAAATGTATTGCTTTATTTCCCTTTCATCTTCATTAAACAGGCTTCATGATGAGAAACTTACAGCCACTGTTAGGTATTATCAAAACCAATTAGAATCAATAAACAGGCGCTTTATAGCGAAAAGTCTAAAGCTGTTTGTAGTGTTTTATAACTCAGTTCCTCTATTATTCTCTTTGCTTTTGACCCAAAGGAAGTTTTATTATAGTGGATAACTAATTTTAAAGAAATATATTTTTCTTTTGTATGCTTCCTTGCTCGTAGTTTCTCTGTTCTGAAATAGTGAGTTGTCAATATCCTTAGTTGTATGCAGAAGTAATACTGAAGCAAGGAGAAATTTCCAAGACTTCTCCATTGAAATAAATGCTTCTTCTCATTTAGTTAAAACAAAAGTAAAATCACACTAAAAGGCAAAGAAAACCCAAGCTTCAAAACCCATTATTAAATAATATAAGGATTACTGGATATATTTTTAAAGGTTGAAAATAAAGTTACAGATTTTTGTAAAGTTTTCAGGTACTCTGGGTGAAGGTGTAGTTCCACTGACTCATTCTTGACTGCTGAAATGCTTCAAGTTGAGCTAATGTTTAAAGTGTCTGTAACTGGGTCTTGAACAAAAGAAAAAACCACAGAAAGTCTAAAGTCTTGCATAAGGGTATGTTCAAGAGTGTTTTCTTGTTTGGGGCTAGTTCCTGATGTTAGGAAACCGGACAGAAAGACACTTTAGTTATTTGCCTTTAAACTATACTCTGACCCCTTAGTTCTCTTAAACTGCTACCGCACATGCCTCAGACAGTTAGTCCTTAACTTATAGTGGAGTTTGAATATTTTGTGTCACATGTATATTTTGGTGCTGAGAAGCAGGGTTGACTTAACCTAAGAGGACAGTTGTATTTATACACTTCTTATATCCCAGTTACCAGTTTTCACCATAGAGGTATTACTGCATAGTACTGTATGTGTCTTATGTGAAAATGCAGAATATCTCTAAATGGTCATCACTGAGAAGAAACGGTGGTTGACAGCTGTTTTGCAGATGAAGGACTTCCTACTGTGAAGCTCAAGGCGATGGACTCATTTTAATACCGTATTGTCATGAAATCTCAGTGCAAGTCTGTATAGAAGGGAAAGTAATTTTTGTATTAAAACTGATTTCTTTCAGCCACACTCACTCTCTTGCTTTCATATACTACCAAGCACCAAAATATGTGTCCAGGTAGTCTAGCTAGGAACTCAGAGTGGTGCTGGGAAACACTGCCAAGCAAATGGTTTTGTACAGCTTTTGGGTTGTTAATGCTGAGCTTTGAATGTGACTTTTGCACCCTAAAGAAGTTGACAGTAATGGTAATTTTTTCCCTTCTTCCTGTCCCACCTCTGTGAGTCACTTGGAAATGCTGCTGATTTTATTCACTGTCACTATGTCTTTCTCTTTTGCTGCACTTTATTATTTCCCTTTGTCCTTCCTCTTCCTTCCCTCCCCCGTTTTGGTTGTCCTGAGAATCATCTGCAATCTTAATATCTTGATGCCATCAACACCTGTCAGAAATTTATGCCACTTTCTTGTCATTTCTTCTGATGCTTTTATACCCGTACCTTCCAATTCACGCTTCATTTATTCTGCACTTAAAGTTTTTATTTCAAACCTCCACAATTTGATACTGGAAAAAGAAGTCTTATAGGAACAAGGACTGCAGAGTTTAATCTGTGGCTCCTATTGCAAAGCGCATGTCTTCAGACTGCCATTATTTACATATGCATAAAGTGATTTGGACATTTAAAACAATCTCTTATAACAAAAGCTTATCAAAGCACAGCATGTTTGGTATGGCTTTCCCTGGGGTGCAGTGGAAAAGAGAACAGAACATGCAGTTGTATAGAAAGCATTATGCTAATGGAAACAGTCTTAAGAGGCTATATAAAGAACTATGGACTCAAGCAACTTAATTCAAACACAATATAATATGTAATTGCAATGTAATGTGAGTTCCCTTGAATATAATGGTAAAAATTGTTTAGATTTCCAACATCACAAAAGCAAAGCCGGACATTACTAACTTACAGCTAAAATTCTGTGATTTAGAGTTCAAAAGTGGTAACATCTGTAACAAGGAAAGTGTGGCAATGTTTACATTTAGTGACAATGCTTAGTATTCTGGTCTTGACTAAATTTGCTTTCTATAAATCCAGAAAATCATAGAATGTGCCACACTGATACCAAATTAGTACACAAGTAGATCTTTGCTAAGGAAATCACTGAACAATATACTCGCCTAGACTGGTACTTTTGCAAAGAATTCCTTTTAAACCTTTCCTAATGATTGTCCTCCTTTTTCCGTTGGCAGTGGTGATTTGTCTGTTGTCTCATATGTCAGTTAGCTTAAGATAAAGAAAGGACATGAGCAGCAGGTATGTGATCTTCTCTTTATCTCTCCTTCAATATTTCAGGAGTTTTACTTTAAATGTGGAGCACACCCAACCAGTGACAGTGAAACATCTGTGTCTTTGAACCTCGTTACAACAAACAGTCGCTGTATCACATGTATAACATGCACAGATATTAGGTAAGTACAACAAAAATTGTCAGAGATGCACAGTCTTAGTGCTTCAGACTACTCATCAATTTCAAGGAGCTTTTTTCCTCTGCTGTTTTTCCTTCTAAGCATTTGTTTTCCCTAGTATCATGGTGGAATATGAGCCACGTTTTGAGGTGTGCCTTTTTTATTTTGCTGGCATGATTGCAATTTATATTTCTGTACCTTAATTGAGTAGCATATGGAGATATAACTGCTTAAATTCCTACAACCTCAGGTGCTCAAGATAGTAGTGTGTGTAGACCTTTGATACTAATCTGTATTCAAGAGCCAATGAAAGAAAGCCTGAATCTAGAGGGGGACAAACTCTTCCTGCAGAAAGGAACTTTTGGGTGTTTGCTTTATAAATCAAAGTGAATCTGTTCTCATCTTCTTGTTTGCTGCAGTTTTAAATACTGTAATCCATCTTATCGTATGGTCTGTGGGCACATACATTCAAGAACACTGTTACTTGCAAATGCGTGGATTAAAAACTAATTGCCCAAGAAAGACAGCTACCATTGCTATGAAGAATTACCTGAAACACATTTATCTCCTGATTAGATGTTTTGGGGTGGAATTCAAAACTAATAACACCATGTTATATACTCTACTGCTATTGATTAGTCTGGATTTTGCATTAGAAGGAATTTAGGAAAATCTTACAGGATAGGGGGAAGCATGGTTGAAACTGGTAGCAGATATCTTTTGGGGGAAGAAAAGCTGGGTTCCTGGAAGTAAACTCCCTGTTAAAAATAATAGGTTGTTGTTCTGATTCTATCACAGAGCTGGCATAATTATATTGTGTTGTGCTTGCATGCTACTGCGTTGATAACAGCTGGTTGGTTGCTGACATTATTTGGCTCAAGAAAATGACTCTTAGAGATTAAAAGATAATTAGGCAGTGCAGAGAAGAGTACGTTGTCCATCGTTTCCCATATACACAGCATTTACAGCACTGACATACAGAGACTACCTTGCAAGCAGGACATGCTGAATTAGTTTAGATAGCTTGTCCCCAGTAAAGTATGCAGCATTATTAACCTCTCTGTAATTAAGGATAATATGAAGTTTCCGTTCTGAGCCCAGCTTTCACCTTTTCCCAAGAGTAAGAGGGAAGAATATCAGCCATAAATATACTTAGTTAGGCTTCAGATCTTGTTGTAATTATTTCTATAAAATTTGAAATGGTTATGTTGGTATTTTCCTGAATTGATATATTCAGTACAGGCCTATTCACTCATATTCATGAAGTTGTAATTTTTCCTCCATTTTGTGGCAAAATCCTAAAGGGAAGAAAGAGGTAAGACTCTTTTCTGGATTTGCTTAGCTGAACAGCTCCTGGAGCTAACTATTGGTTTTCAAAAATGTGTTAGTGAAGTTTAGTGATATTCTTGTTGACATGTCACAAAAGCATATCAATTCTCATTATTTTAAGGCATCAAGTAACTTTGGGAGACCTAAGTTCCAGTAGATTTCTAGCTCAGCACACAATCTGGGAGATTGAGTTGTTCATAAATAGGTTTGTCTTCCATTATGGAGCATAGAGAAACTTTTTATATAATGAAAGTTTGGTTTAGTTTTCTGGATGGCTGACAGATTTCATTTGATCATAGAAGGATCTCAGAATCCTGTGACATAAGAGGAATAGATGGCAGGTATCATACAACTGCTCTGTAGGCTGTCTTTATCCCTTTCAGTCTCCATAAAGTCAGGAGAATATTCTGACTCAGTATGTCTTGTTGGCTGTGGAATTAATTGTTTGGCAGGCAGCAGTGAAATCAGTGATTCCAAGAGTGCAGGAGAGTAATCTAGCAGCCTTCTTGAGGTTTTAAAGGTTGTAAATGGACTTCTGTTTATGTATTCAGAATTTGACTTCTTATACTTCCTAGAGCTATAGGTGTAGGTTTCTCTTGTTCCTCAGGTGATGCAGTGAAATGAAGATGGGGGTGATATCTCTTCTGCCTTATGGAATAGTTCATAAGATTTTGTGGGTGACCTCCATTCTTCTGGACACCTCCTAATCTCTTACTCATAAGCAGGTCTTTTGTACTACAGAACTGCACAAAATGAAGTAAGTAGGCAATATTATTTCAATTACTTCTCTCTTTCTTGGTTAACTAACATTAAACTCTTGTACCTTGATGCTGTCTTAGTGCAGGTAGCACCGTTCCTTGCATTAAAATGCATACCAAAGAAAATTGTAAAGTAGTTGTTGGTCAAAATTAAAGTTGCAAGCAATGCTTGAACTCAGAATTGATTCTTATAAAGTGTCTTCTAGAAAGAGATTATTTTGTCACTGTCTTCTGTGGTATATTTACAGAACTGGGTTCTAGGTACAGGTTAAAGGCCAAATTGGTACCTCAGCATTTTGCAGCAAGGATGCAGACTAAACTACTTAAAAGTGGCTAGTTCTCCTGTGCCTCCGAACAAATCATTGGGCAAAAGGAATGGTTTGCCTTACTGCAGTGCAGAGCCCTGGTATGCATATGTCCTGCTAAATGAAAGAGGTACAGTGGCTGATCCTGATTCCAAGCCAAATGGCAATGACTGACAGATATCCTACACAGTGCTGTGATAGGTGGCCTTGGCTATTCATCACAGCCAGCTTAGGATAATATTAAAGCTGAAAACATAAAGGCTCATTGCAGAAACTAGGTCTGCAATGAGAGTACACTTCTTAGCCTAGTGGTAAGATGGCATGCAAAAGGATTATTCATGTAATAATATTCCATGTGCAGGGCTCGGGAAGCATCAAAACACGTCAACAAAAACTGTGAGTACAATGAAGGGGTAAAATTGCTGAACTGAAAACTGAGCTTTGTGGGATAAAGAATATCTATGTCCAGGACCTGTGTCCACTGGCTTCTCAAGTACTTTAAGTATTTCTAGACAGCAGGAAAAGTCATCTGTTCCTGACAACTTACTGTGTCATGGAGGGCTATGTCCTTTTCAGGAAAGACAGGCCAGCCAGGCGGGGTGGTGGGGTTGCTCTTTATATGCAGGAGGAACTACAATGCACCGAGTTCTGTCCAGGGACAGATGATGAGCGAGTTGAGAGTCTGTGGGTGAGAATTAAGGGGCAGGCTGGCAGGGGGGATACTGTTGTAGGTGTCTGTTACAGACCACCAGATCAGGGTGAGGAAGTTGACGAGGCCTTCTACAGGCAGCTGAGAGCGGCCTCACAGTCACAGGCCGTGGTCGTCGTGGGGGATTTTAACTTCCCTGATGTTTGCTGGAAGGACCACTCGGCAACCCAGCCACAGTCCAGGAGGTTCCTCCAGTGTATGGATGATAACTTCCTCCTGCAAATGGTGGATGAGCCGACCAGGAGAGGAGCGCTGCTGGATCTCATCCTCACTAACAAGGAGGATCTGGTTGAAGCAGTAAGGGTTGAGGGCTGCCTTGGTTGCAGCGACCACGAGATGGTGGAGTTCAGGATCTTGTGTGGCAGGACTAGTAGAATACCAAGTAGAATTGCAACCCTGGACTTTAGCAGGGCAAACTTTGGCCTTTTCAAGCAATTGCTAGGGGAAATCCCATGGGCAGGGCTGCTTGAAGGTAAAGGGACCCAAGATAGTTGGTTGACATTCCAGGACTGCTTTTTCCATGCTCAAGATCGGAGCATCCCGACACGTAGGAAGTCAAGGAAGAGGGCCAAGAGACCTGCGTGGCTAAATAGGGAATTGCTGGGTATGCTCAAGTGGAAGAGGAGAGTTTACAGGTCATGGAAGGAGGGGCTGGCCACTTGGGAGGAATATAAGGCTGCTGCTAGAGGATGTAGGAAGGCAGCTAGGAGGACTAAGGCATCCTTAGAATTAAACCTGGCAAGAAGGGTCAAGGACAGCAAAAAGAGCTTTTTCAAATACATGGCAGACAAAACTAACACCAGAGGCAATGTAGGCCCACTGATGAACGGGATGGGTGCCCTGGTGACAGAAGATACAGAGATGGCAGAGTTACTGAATGCCTTCTTTGTCTCTGTCTACTCTGCTGCGAGCAGTCCTGAAGAGCCCTGTACCCCTGAGACCTTAGATGAAGTCAGGTCGACGGAGCGGTTTGCCTTAGTCGATGAGGAATGGGTTAGAGACCAGTTGAGCAATCTGGACATCCATAAATCCATGGGCCCAGATGGGATGCACCCGCGGGTGCTGAGGGAACTGGCAGAAGTCATTGCTAGACCACTCTCCATCATCTTTACCAAGTCTTGGGAAACGGGAGAGGTGCCTGAGGACTGGAGGAAAGCAAATGTCACTCCAGTCTTCAAAAAGGGCAAGAAGGAGGACCCGGGTAACTACAGACCGGTCAGCCTCACCTCCATCCCTGGGAAAGTGATGGAACACCTTATCCTTGGTACCATCTTAAGGCATATCAAGGATAAGAAAGTTATGAGGGGCAGTCAACATGGCTTCACCAGGGGGAAATCATGTTTGACCAATCTCTTAGCCTTTTATGAGGAAATAACACGGTGGATGGATGATGGCAGAGCGGTGGATGTGGTCTACCTTGACCTCAGCAAAGCATTTGACACAGTCTCCCACAGCATCCTCACGGCTAAATTGAGGAAGTGTGGACTGGATGATCAGGTAGTGAGGTGGACTGCGAACTGGCTGAAGGAGAGAAGCCAGAGAGTTGTAGTCTATGGGACTGAGTCTAGTTGGAGGCCTGTAACTAGTGGAGTGCCTCAAGGGTCAGTACTGGGACCAGTATTATTTAATATATTCATCAATGATTTAGATGAGGGAATTGAGTGTACTATCAGCAAGTTTGCTGATGACACAAGCTGGGAGGAGTGGCTGACACGCCAGAAAGCTGTGCTGCCATCCAGCGAGACCTGGACAGGCTGGAGAGTTGGGCAGGGAGTAACTTGATGAAATATAACACGGGAAAGTGTAGAGTCCTGCATCTGGGCAGGAACAACCCCAGGTTCCAGTATAGGTTGGGGAACGACCTGTTAGAGAGCAGTGTAGGGGAGAGGGACCTGGGGGTCC